GCTGAGCTACTGTACCTTTTGGCTCGGCTCTACCAGCGTCTGGCCGGTCTCCTTTGGGTGCCCCAGTACTACCAGGTGTTCCTGCTTTTAGCAGGAACAGACTGTAATCTACCGACAGACTCTTTATCAAGACCTGCTCCTCCCTACCTTCGGGACGTGGACCTACTGGGCCTCAACTGCACAACTGGACCTTTTTGTGCCAGCGGACTTGGTGGAAAATCTCTACGGGCCTCTGTCCAATTGTTATTTTGTCCCTCACTGTTACTCTACCCCCAGTATGTCCCAATCTGCGAAGTTGGAGTCCTTCCCCTGTTGTTGTACCGATTTCTGATCTACCCCCTTGAAACACACAAAAGACAACACGAGAACAGAGTTTGTCCGCTCTCTCTCTCTCTCTCTCTCTCTCTCTCTCTCTCTCTCTCTCTCTCTCTCTCTCTCTCTCTCTCTCTCTCTCTCTCTCTCTCTCTCTCACCCCTGTGCATGGTAGATGCTCGTGTCAATGGCATGATGGGAGGCGTTTGGAAGGGAGGCTGGGGTGGAAATGGACGATGGAGGTAGAGAAGGGGTGAAAACATGGAAGAGGGGGGAGGGGAGGAGGAGGAGGAGGAGTTTGTAGGGGGATGAGGAGGAGAAGAGAGGGGAGAGGAGGGAGGAACAATGGCAATGATGATGATAAGGCTGTGGTCATGTCATGGTAACGGTGGGGGCAAGGGACTCTTTCTGTGGCTTTCTTTTTTTACCACTCGTTTGTTTTTCTTTTTGTTTTTGTTTTTCAATTGGGTCTTCCCCTTCATGTGACCCTGACCACCTTCTTCCCGGAGTTCCAATGGAGAACTGTGACCCAAAGTTAGAATTTGAACATTGGATGCATCGCCTGTCGATTGTGGTTGATGAACATCAACAGCAATTGTTTGTTTTTTTGTGGGGATGTCAAGCGATGCCCACTTGGAAACCAGCCGACCCGGGTTCATGTCCAGACTAACCTGAAGAAGTCCCCTGCGGCTTCTAAAATGTGAGACTGTGTTGGGGCGCCGTTCTACGAGGCTTCGCATCCCCTGACCAAAAACTAGACCCAAGCATTGCCCAGATTGTCTGGGGGCGGCAATATGTCCAGCAAACTTGGTAGCCCAGGATTTATTTTCATTTTTTGAATTCCCTCTCCCCCCCCCCCTTCCCCCCTTTCTCCCCCCACCCTCCCGCTCCTGGCCCAGAGGGCATTTTCACATCATTTATTTGGAGGAAGCAGGGCTCAGCACATGCTTGACAGCGCAGTACTGCATGATGTACATTCATTTCGAACACTTCTTTTCTAAACGAAGATCGGCTGGCCGGAAAGCAGACTGTGAGTCTGTAACCACTCACGAAGTTTGGTAATGGCGAACTGAGCCTCCTTGCCATCGATAGAGCATGCAGATGAAGCAAGGCCCGCTAATAATTTGCAGCGGCGGCATCATGAGAGCGCTGACTCATTTTGTGTGTGGCCTTGTGGCTTGCCAGGCTGCCAGCATTGCCTCTGCTATTGATTTTCTGGTCTTTCGAACTCTTTTCACGTATGTGTTTGCGTCAGGGACAGCATCACGACTCTGCTTCTTATTCATTTCTTGTCTGGCCTCGGATGTACCCTGCCCACCTGCCAGCGTTGCCTCTGCTGTGTAGTCTCTGGTCTTTTGATGTTATGTGTGAGCGTTGGTCATAGCTGCTTCGCGGCCTGCGCCCCCACCTGTCCAGCCCCCTCGCTCCGGCCCCCCTCGCTCCACTCGATGTTCCAGCCCAGTCTTGCCTCGCTGAGGTGTATCATAAGCCGCCTTTGCATTAGAACTTTGCGACAAGTGTCAACGACCTAATAATAAACTTATGGTGGGAATTACAGTCATGGCTAACTGAGGCTAGCTCATAAATTGGAATGGCTTGCGGAGGAGGGGTGTATGTGGCATATTCAGTAGCTCCCATCTTGCAAGAAGCTGTGTTCAGGTGTTTGTGTGAAAGCTCAAAACATAATGTTTTGTGATGGCAAAAGCTCACACACAAATTGTCGAGATGCGAAAGCTTACGGAAGAGCAATTAGGAACAAGCTGCAGGTGTTTGTGCAAAAGCGCTAACATAGATTGGGATACCAAGGAACCTTCGAATGAGAACATAAACATTTTTTCAAGATGTAAAAGCTCACAGAAGAGTAATCGTTAGCAAGCCGAGTTGAAAGCAGAATTACAAAGCTGAGAGCACGCCAAATTCAGAAACACGCAGAACACTAGTTTCTTGACGAATGAACGAAAGGCCTCTTCGCGCCTCCGAAAATCAACTAGAACATCAAAGAAGTAGCCCTCCTATGATGTGTCGACCTGTACTACTCTACTTGACCTACAGACGCTGCCCTACTCCCTCTCACACTCTCTCCCTCTGTATCAACAAGCCTCTTGCCGGATGCTGCTGACGAGTCTGATCACATATGCGCTCCTCGGCAAACACCAGGTGAGCACCTGCAGTTGCAGGTTTCGTCCTCTTCTCCGTGAGCACCTCACATCATGCCACCCAGCTTCTCGCTCAGTGCTGCCCAGCTACGGCAGACAATGGGCTCACAAGTACTGTAGCTGCATCCTCTCGTGGACGCCGTCTGGCTGCCGTGCTGTGGTCCAGCAGTGCCCAACTGCTGCCGATGTCTGAATGTCTTTTCCCCAGCAGTCTCCTCTCTTTTGTCCTGTGTGCAGGCCGAGGTCGGAACCGAGCAGGCAGTCCCTACTGCCTATCAGGCTGTGTCTGGGCGCCGTCCTCTGGCCCCTGCAACTCACTCAGAGTGGTAGGGCCGACTTGGTAATCTGGACTGGGCACCGTCCTCTGGCCCAGTGTAGCCTGGTGCGCCCTTGAAGTAGTACCAGACTATCTTTCCCTTGCTCGGAGCCTTACGTACGACGGGGCGCCAATTTTGACAGTGGGCCCTTTTGGGGCTCACCGAGCCCTCACGTTTGGCAATGCAAATCCGAATCAATAGAGGGAGTAGCCAGGGTTGTGCGTGCGAAATGTGGGTGCTTGAGGAGGAGATAGAATGAGGGGAATGGGAAGATGACGAGTAGAATTGAAGGAAAGGGGAAGGAAATAGAAGTGAGGGAAATGGGAAGGGATTCAGGAGAAGGAAAATGTGAAACTTGAGGTGTCCTTGTGGACTTGGGTTAGCGAATGGGCTTCGGGCAAGCTGCAAAAGAAAGTGAGAATAAACGAACGGTGCAAGCAGTATAGAGTCTACAGACAGATATTTGTCTCTTTTGTGTAGAGAACCCGTCGAAATTGTAATTGAAATCAGAGCAGTTTTGGGAGTTTGGGTCCCTGGACTGTCTTCCTTTATCTGTCTCTGTGAGGGGACCGGGGCATGTCAGAACCACCGGTGCCTTTTCGTTTGTGGTGGTTTTCATCATTGCAGGATGTGATGTAAGTGATGATTTCTAAGCTCTGTATTTCTCATTGTCTGGGTCTAACAGCAGTTGTGTGTGTGACCTGTGTCATCTAGAAGCAGATGTGGGTAAAATTGTTCATCTCCTGATGAGCTGAATCATGACAAGAAAAAGCAGGAATAAGAAGATGGAAAAGAGAGGAAAGATGGTTATGGGTTGGAACCTTTGGTAGAAGCTATCTTTTCACAATTCATTTTTGTTTTCTTTTTTTCTTTTTGTTTTATATATTTTCACATTGCTTAGTTCATAATACTTCATAGTAGCTCGATACTTTTTTATTGTGATTGTTATCATTTTGGAGCCCAACCAGGTTTTCAGTGCACATAATGCTCATGATGCTCGTGTGTTTCACTGAAGACCATTTTGATGGGAGGTGTGAGAGCTGTCTGTGATAGAGGAGAGGTCGGCACGTGACGAGAGAGAGAGAGAGAGAGAGAGAGAGAGAGAGAGAGAGAGAGAGAGAGAGAGAGAGRRCCAAAGAAAGAAAGRTGGCAAGAGGTGGCAAGAGATAAACCCGAGAGAGAGAGAGAGAGAGAGAGAGAGAGAGAGAGAGAGAGAGAATAGAAAACAAAGAGGACCAAAGAAAGAAAGGTGGCAAGAGATAAACCCAGCTCTTGCGAGCCCTTTGGCACGCGTCCCTGGATTTTGGGGTTGTGTAAGTGTTAATTACCCCCCCCACCAATAAATAGATACAAATAGAAATAACCAAACCACATCAACAGAATGCCAATACCAAGCGGCAGCTTCAAACCCCCAATGGTGTCTTCCTGAGCCATGCTTGTCGATTGAACCCTCGAGTTTGTCCCTGTGTTGATTTCCGCTTTTGGTTTTCCTGTTCTCTCGTCTGATGTGTGTATTTTGTTCCAGTCCAGACGGTGTCCCATTGTTGAGAATGATTGTCGTCTGCTGCAGACAGTTTGAGAAGTTGCCTGCAGCAGCAGTATGTGAAGGCAGTGCTGCACGCAGTGGGGGCCAATACCTGCAGTAGTCGAAGGTTTTGCGACTTTCTCTCACATCGCATACTGAAGAGCATAGTGAAGAATCGAGGCTGCCATGACAGTTGGCATTCTGTTCGATGTTTCACGGACACCTGTGTTTGATGGTGTGATCTGTGCTCTCTAGCATGTGTCCATGGTTTGATTGTCTAGGTGCGGCTGGAGGGGTGATATACAGGTGCAGGGCAGGGTAAATATACTGCAAGGGTTTTGCTAGTTCAGCTTTGGCCTGAAGGTAGAAGGACACTGGAAATGTGTACTTGCAGGTAAGTGAAGGATTTACGTTTTTTTTTTTCATTTCAACGCTTGCGTGTCCATAATCATGTGCACAATCGTGCATGGGTCGTATTGATTTGGGCGCTCTCTCTTTTTCAGCGGTTTTTGCATAGGAGCCCTCGGAAGTGGGTAGCTAAACGAGCTCTATGACCTTCTGGTCTAGGAGCCATCTTCAGAGTATGAGAATCCTGGCAGCCAACAGACGGCAGCACGAGATAAGCTTGGGAATGTCCCGTCCTCGACTTCTTGCGTGTGATTAGTTCGGGAATATCCTCGACTTGTGGTACGGGTTGCTGCCCCTCTCCAGCCACCTATCATACCCAGGTTAGGTTAGGATAGAATAGCGTAGAAGAGTAGTAGAACAACATAGGATGGGGTCGAACAGGAGCTGTGCATGTCGAATTTGGTCGAAATCGAATCCAAAGAGTTAGTGTCACTTTGTCTATGTAGCGGCATCCTCTCTGTAGAAGCTGGATGAATTAGTTACGGGGGTTGAAAGGTAGAGTAGGTTATGGGAGAGAAGCAATGAAAGGGAATTGAAAGGGCAATTAAAGGGAAGAAGAGTCTCAGGAACGCATGCGATTGCAGTTCGACTCATATGTTTAATCAGTGCTTCTGCTGGCGTAAGGGGCGTCAACATGGTTTTTTACAATGGGTTTTCTCACAAGGGGTCGTAGTCTGATTCTGTGGTTTGGCGGTGTAGCATACACTGCCATACAGCAGTCGAGCAAGTGCAGACGGGTATTGAGACAGGATGAAATTTTAATTTACGGCGGCAGTAGTGTAGGGCTTTCCTCTCTGAAGCGTAGATTTCGATAGGAGTACATGCGTAGATTGCCATTGGAGTAGATTATGTGCTAAGCATACCAATAAGACATCATGTATCTATGCATATCCAGAGAAATTTATACATACGTATAGTCGCGAAACATATATGGGGAGGTGGGCGGAGGTGATGAAAGAGGGACAGCAGAGGACAAGTGTTAGGCTCCAGGCGCACCTGTCTCTCTTGTAGTTGGGGCAGATCGAATTGTTGTGTTTGTGATTTATATCTTGTAGATATTATGAATATTTGTGTCTATATAAAATGTTCAACTAAAAACCTGAGGTTTTCCAATACTTTTGGACAGGTCAGCATCTTCATCACATCCATGTATAGACATAGCTACTGATCTACGTCGGAGAACGATGTAGTTGATTTGAATGCAACAGTGGGAACTAAACTAATTTTCAGGTACATATGTGGCTGAGATGATTGGACTCACCCATCTACTCCCAAGTGTCTGATAAGTGCGCTCAGTGCTGCTGAGTTTGATTGCCCTTGACCGTGCCGTCCAGGGTAAACACCTAACTTCGGAAAAGGAGAAGCGAGGTGGTTTTATATACCTGGAGGTGTACGTGAGGGAAGAGGGGGTGGCGGAAAGTGAGAGACAACAGCAGGAGGAGAGAGAGAGGAAGAGAGACAGACAGAGAGAGAGAGAGAGAGAGAGAGAGAGAGAGAGAGAGAGAGAGAGAGAGAGAGAGAGAGAGAGAGACAGAGAAAGAGAGAGAGAGAGAGAGAGAGAGAGAGAGAGAGAGAGAGAGAGAGAGAGAGAGCAGGAGCAGGTTCGTTCCTGGGTCGTTATACCAGATAAATAGTTTTAGTGGTGGTGTTTGTGTGATTGCCGCTTATGTCTCTCTTCACGTGGGTGAAGCGTTTGTTTAGGCCTGACTCCCTTCTCACCAGGATTCGTGCTTATGGGGCATCATGGGCACGGCGTATGTCAATGGCGGGTCGTCCCAGAGGAGCAGCCCAAGGCGTGGGCATGTTTATTACAGCAAATGGTGGTGGTGCTGTACCCCCTCGGGCAGGTCAAGAAGTTGACAAACAATCTGTTGATATCACATTCATCGCTGTGTCTTCAGCAGTTATACCCCCAGTCAATCCACCTCCTCCTGCGGGCCCCCAACCTGGACGGCCATCCAGCTCGTTGGATGTGATGAGTGTACAAAAGACCTCTGGAAAGAAGGGATGGAAAGCACAAAAGAGCATCAAGGCCGCGCCTGTTGTAATAAAGTGCAAAGGGTGTGGCCGAATAAAGTTGCCTCAGTTTTATTGCTGTGGTGCGCCAAAACTTAAGAGCATTGAAGGCTGACATGGCATTTGCGTGTCGGCCCCTTTTTTTTTAACGAGCTTGTGAGTCGTTTTTACTCTTCTGATCAACATTTGCACGGGTTTCTTTTTGTTCGCTGTTTTGTGGACACTGTTGGATACTCTGCATGTGTGTGATGGTATGTATGCATATCTGAATATATATGTACGATATATATATGATATATACACACACGATAAATATGTGTATGAGCAGAGCAATCATGTGCTGGCGCGAGGTGTTTGGGACTCAAGTTGAGAGGGAAAGGATGATTTTTTAGGAGAAGAGGGTAGGGTAGGGTAGGGTAGGCAGGTTACGAAATTTGATATCTTGCTGAGGATTGGATTCCCAAGCAGTATTAGGGACGTGCACAGCACTCCTTTTAGGCTCTCAATTCAGGTCGCAGCGATCCTCACTGGTTCGTCAAGTAGCTATGATGTCGAGAATCTGGCTCCCCAGTTGATGGGTAAGTACTAAGTTAGTTGGAGCACAGGCAGATCGTAGGCTTTGGATGCGAAGGGAGGAGTGTCAGAGAGGAGGCGCAGGTAACAGGCACAGGCAGATCGTAGGTGCGAATGTGCAATTATATTTTTGTAGAGGTTGAAGGCTTTGTAGCACTTAGGTTGAGGCTTGTAGGATGAAGGGTGGGTCTATGGCCTTGTCTTTTTTTTTTCCCAACCGGGAATTCCGTCTTGCAGCCAGCTGGTCAGTCCGCTACCTTCTTTTGTTTCACTTGGCTTTGTTGGCCAGCGAGCTATTTTAACCGAATGTGTTGTGACGTGTTGTGCAGATAGGATTCCTGTGGCCCTGTTGATGAATGCAACTCTGTTCAGCTGCTGCGACCTCTTGTCAGAAACATTCCCCTGCGGATGATGCTTGTCGCTGCTCACAATCTGTACGTGCAAGGGTAGCCATCTGCCCATCTCCCCATCTGCCTGTTCCAGATCTTGCTGCTTAATTAATGATGTTGTATATTACTATATGTTCATTTGTTTCAACTTTTAATCCACTAAATTGATATGTGTGTCTGCGCACGGGTGTGTGCGTGTGCATGCACACTTTGTTTTTATCGGGCCGCATGCTGTGTGATTGATTACTATGGAGGTTGCAGAAGTTGCGCTGTTGCAAGAAATGATGCTGCGTACAGCTGATCTCAGCGCATACACACACGACCACACTTTTAAATGTATCTGATCGTAGTTACGGCCCTTGGATGTATCCTGGCCGCAACTGCATCCACAAATAAGTAAAAGACTCGTAGCGCAAGTAAGCCGTCAGAGAATAACTGGGTGGGATTCAATTTGGATTGAACAGGAATACGAGTGTTTGCATGGTATGTAGTATAGCGTTACCCTTTATCGACACGCCTAATCTCAGTGTTGTCTGTGCTGTGTGTGTGAATGAGTGGGACCACCTGAAAGTTTTGCTCCTTCCGGTTCTGATGTTTTACAAGAGAAACGCTGTTTTGCGCCTGCTGATTTGGCATGGGAGGTTGGCGTCCTTGACAAGTCATCTCATTTAGGTTTCCCAAGCTCGCGGTGAGCAAGGCATGAATGATCCAATGTCTGAAGAATTGCTTAAACCACCAGTACACCCATATACATCGGCCGCGGGCCCCTTTTGGAAGCCGGTGACGCTTTGAAGATCGCCGATGGAAGTTATCAGGGGCTGCCTGCCCCGCCCGGCCTGGCTTTTCCGGTCGTGGTAAAACGCTTTGAAGACCGCCGATGGAAGTTATCAGGGGCTGCCTGCCCCGCCCTGGCCCGGCTGTTCCGGTGGTGGTGACGAGTTTATTTCTGCAAGGCTGGGGGTGGGTACTGTTAGTTTAAGCCCAAATGAGTAGAATTAATACTTGTGTGTGCTTCTCATCCATTCCAAAGACAGCTGGGGCGAGTAAGGAGACCAGTGGAGTCGTGTCTGCGGATGAGCAGCTTTAGGGAGGTGGAAGCTTTAGGCAGATTGGAAGTCCACGGAAATTTGTATCTGCTGAGTAGAGTTGAGTCTGCTCTTGGCACCTCGTCTTCCCTGTATGCGATTTCCTTTGGCGCGGGGTGCATGTCTCTCTGCACCCTTTGTCAGCGCATATTCGCACTGGTACTTTCCTAAATGTATCTGACCGCAACTGCGACCAGATCTGGATGAATCTGCCCGCAATCATGTCCAGAGCTTGTTAGAAGAAGTATGAGCGTGGATATGCCCTCATAATCAGGGTAGTCTGCCCGATCGTCGGCGCCCCCGGAACCATAGGCGGCCGACCTGCCTACGGTGGGCGCCGTCGGCGCCGACCGGTGGGCACCCTGCAGTTGGAAAAAGAAATGGCGGGGGTCCGGCCGGGCCCGTCGTGCGCTGTCGGCCTCACCGACCAACTTCCTGGAGAGGCCGGGCCCCGGCAAGCTTCATAGGCTCCACAAAAGTGAGAGCAGAGCAGCACTTCACACGCTGTTGCTGCTCTCACTTTTGTAGAGTGTCGGTGTCTAGCCCTGCGTTGGTTCCCCTCTTTACTTCTGTTCTCAAATCCCCCAAACACCCCCTTATGGCTTGAACGCACATGTACCCTTGGGTACACACACATTTGTCGTAGAACTGCACACACACACACATTCATGGACTCATAATTGGAACTTCTGTCGCTTCCTTCAACTGTCTGATCTACACAGAATGCAGCTTTTCCCACAACTGGACCCTTAAAAAAAATGAGTGGAGAAGTGTTTCGGCACTCTTATTAGACCACTACTGTTTCGGCGGCCTGTTTTTCGCTTTTCAGATCTGTGCTGTGTGCATCATGTGAAAATGTAGCACTCGGTTTTTCCCTTTTTGGCTGGTGCTGCCAGCCAAGAGGTTCAAGTAGGTTGAGCCCCCGATGCATGCAGTTGTCAAACAGTTCATTGCAAAAGCTCGCCTGTGAAAGGTAGTGGTGAAGTGCTTGCACGCACGCACGATGTTTTGTTGAAGTGCCTTGGTCCCCCTGTAAGATTGATCCTGCACAGGTATGTAGCATTTGAGATGGTCAACATCCCAGATGGGTATGTCGTTTCACAGTCTCTAGTGCAGCTAGGCTACTTAGCGGTTCGGACCCTCCATGGACAGACCACAGCCAAATCTTGTCTTGACGCTGCAGTTACTCATCCAAGGAGATGGCCGTCTCTTCTTTTTTTTTTTTTTTTTTTTTTTTCAAACAACCCGATCGGATGCTACTTGTGCTGACTCAATGTGAAAAGGAGTCTGGAAGGTCCGTAGCCTAGAGTGCTCATGAAAAAGTTGAGAAAAGTGCTATTTCTTAGATCACCCTCGTAGCCTAATATAGTAATGAAAAAGATGGAAAAACTGCTATTTCTTCTTAGACCGCCCTTGTGAGTGAGGGTATCTACGTACTAAATTTCTAAGGCGCACCGTTCTCCTCGGATGACTAATTGCAGCGTCAAGGGGCTGGTAGACCAACTGGAGTGGATGATCTACCTTGGGGTCTTGCCTTAGGGGGGAAGAGCCGCAGGTGGGATAGTGAAGTGATGGGGGGATCTGTAGCAGGGGGCTTGTTTGCCGCCCATGACATAGGCCAGATAGCCCTGGTTGATGACAGAGGTATGGGAGTGGATGCTGCCTGTGTACCTACTGAGGACAGAGACGGGAGCTCCTCTGGGTATGGGGATGGATGGTGGCCACGTAGCTACTGATATGATAGAATATAGAATACCTCCAGATGACGAACGGACAATTACGATCAGAACAACATAAGCAATTGGAGAGGGGTCCAGTTGGATGACTAAGGTAGAGTCGCAGATGGTGGCCATACATCTCTACTGATGATAGGCTGGAACCTTTGGGATGTTATCAGAAGAACGGCTGTACAACTACAAGCAACTGCAGAGTGGTCTAGTGAATGATTAAACCACCAATACCTGTGCAGCGACTGTGCCAAACCTATCGGCGGCTGAGTTGCGAACCTTTGAGAACAAACTGCAATGAAGAAATGAGAGAAGGGTGGCCGCCGTCGGGGGGAACTTAAGAAAAATTGGCGGTTGCTGGGGCATAGATCCTTTTCTGGGCCGTTGGAAACCAGTATGCATGTCTGTCGAAGCAAAAAAAAAAAAAAAAAAAAAAAAAAAAACAGAAAACGTGGGTAGTGGAAGAGGATACAGACACGAGGACTTTCCTGGATGTATATGACCAAGTTTCCAGTCCAGGCTGGATGAACCCAACCTTACTTCCGCCCCGAAAGAAAGGAAAATTCACTCTCGTTTTGCACATTTGGAGGGCAGTGCAGCCAGGCGCTATGTGCGAAACGAGAGTGAATCTTCCACGAGAACATGAAAAGATACACTGCCATGATGTTGGTCTTTTGTGCATGTAGAGAGTAGTGGAGGGACGCCGTTAGAGTCAGGATGCCCTTAGACAGTATGGTACCTGGATTGCTCGCCAGTCTGGGCTGGTGATTGGTTGCCCTCTAGCAACAGGCCATGCAAAACTCCAGCTTTCCTTTTTTTTGTTTGTTTTTCTTAATTAGCCTTTGTCAGTAGCGGCCAGTGCTTTCCTGTGAGTGTCGGCCTACCCTGCATGTGATGCTTTTTCGGTTGCAAGCAACAGCTCACTGCTGTGCCTTTTTTTTTTTTTTTTTTTTTTTTGCCTCCACAGAATGTTGCCCCTCCTTGTATGTGGTAGTCCTTATTTTTTATTTCTGAGGCGCGCTTGTGAAGGGTGGCAAGTTGCCTCAGCACTCCCCGGGCTCCCCAGACACTGCCCGTTATCGGTGCCTTCCCGGGTTTGTGCCGAGCCTACAAAGCCCCCTTCCGGCATGCTCGGATGTGGATTTTTTAGCCAGAAAAGGCACTGGCGGTTTAAGGTAGGGGGGCGGATGGTGGCCGTATGTACACCTGCTGACCGTAGGCTAGAACATCTAGGGTGTATTTAACGTTTAAACCATAGCTGCCCCTGACAACCTTAAGTAGGATTCCCGAAGAGTTAGGGCAGCAAAAAACAGTAGGGCGGGGTCCAGCAGGTGAAGGTGGGTCCAGTCCCTCAATCCCTCGACAATTCTTCGCGCTCGAAGAAGTTATGAAGAAATCTGAAAATTTGAGATTCTGTAGATTAGATTGCGGTCTTTCTAGCAAAAATACGAGGAAAAATAAATAAAAAAATTTTAGACCGAGAAATAAATCCCGCGCCAATTTATCTCACTTACCATTTTTGTGGCTCTACCATGTGTGGGCCAACGAGAACAATACATCAACTTCAGCGATTTTTCATGATCAAACGAATGTGTCAAGAATGATTTTTAATGATCAAACGAATGTGTCAAAAATGATTTTTAATGATCAAACGAATGTGTCAAGAAATCTGAAAATTGGAGGGTCCGTAGATATGGTCGCCCTCTCTCCAGGATTATTAAAGTTAAAAAAAAAAAAAAAAATGTGTGAAGAAATATGAAAATTGGAGGGCCAGTAGATATGGTCGTGATCTTTCCAGGGAAAAAACAAAAGTCTAAACCGTGAAATAAATCGCAGTAGCAATTTGTCTTGTTCTCAAGTTTTGCCACTCCCCGGGTTCTCCCCACTCTGCTACCGGTAGCCCTCTTCAACCTGTAAACCTGTGCTACCGGTCCCCCTGACTTTAGGACAACGGGGGTAGTGGTGGTTTAAAATGTCACTACCCCAACCGTCCTACATTTCGGGGGACCGGTAGCACAGGTTGAAGAGGGCTACTGGTAGCAGAGTGGGGAGAGACAAAAATAAAAAATTCATGGCCGCCCCAGTTCATTTTGCGCTTGAAACGAATTTTATTTCTTTCTTAATATTTTTCCTGGAAAGATAACGACCAAATTTATATGTTCTCCAATTGTGAAATTTCTTATACTTGGAGTGTGAAAAAACGCTGAATTTTCGGATACTTTTGCTGCTGGCACACACGTGGTGGAGCAAAGAAAATACAAAATGATATTGATATGAATTTGTACTGCATTTTTTTCACAATTTTTCTTTTTCTAATAATATTTTTCTCGAAAAGATCACGACCAAATCTACAGCCCTCCAATTTTCATAGTTTTCAAATAATATTTTTAAGCGCAAAAATTATAAGTTAGGTTACTTTTCCCGTTGGCCCGCACGTGGGAGTGGCAAAAATGGGAAATGCAATAAACTGGCACAACATTTATTTCGCGGTCTACTTTTTGTTCAGCCCCCTGATATTATCCTGGAAAGATCACAATAAAATCTGCAGGACCAAAAGTTCTCAGAATTTTTTCGTCAAAGTTGGCACTTGAAAATTGTGGGAC